ATTGTGTGTCGCAATTCAAGACACACGCGGGTGTCAAACCAACAATGACCGTACGCCATTAGGTCCGTAAAGGACCAGGGCCGACATATCTGAGTTAAGACACTCAAAAGAAAGGACAGTGACTTTATTTAGTGGTGAATCACGACCGCCACAACGTAGTATCGTCACCAAATATTGTGGCATGTTATAAAAAAACAGCACGCCAATCGAAAAATCACATTATCCAGTTGCTCGTCGCGACGGCTTATTCGATAGGCTGAGTCCGCTTATCTCGCAGCTGACTGAAGAAGGTGATTACTCACATATCCGAAACCTGGAGGCACCCTCGGTAGCATAGTTTCGCTCCCTAAGATGTCGGCGGTGGCCGTACTGAGGCCCACCCGGAGTCGCTGAATTAATATGCTGTCCTTGTCGTGCCGAGCTAACCGAGGTCATATAGTGCAGTCATCATCATCATCAACAGCAGTACATCAGCCATTTGAACTGATGCTTCGCCGCCATACAACCATGATGACCTATAAAATCAAGAATAAGAAGAGGGAGAGAAGGAGGACTTACCTGAAAACCTTAATGACCTCAGCAAACATTCAGGATCAAGGAGGCTACACCTTGTCTAGACAACATACCGTCACAAACAGCTGGCTATCGTGCAAAGATAAGGCGGCATCGGCGAGACAGCTTTCTTGCGGCTTTCACTGCCACGCGTCATAATCAGCCATTAGCCCAGCAGATAACTCAGAACCAAACACACTTTAAACAGGCAGTCCGACTAAGAGACGGCAGCAGACGCGCCAATGGTGTCGGTTTGCGAGCCATGTCCTGTAAAGTCTCCAGCCAAGCATAAGGCGAGTCACGTGGACTTCAGCCAGGAAGGCGAGACGCACAAAGGGCACACAGTTTGGTCGTTAGTGACTTCATTTCCCGGTGCCAAGTCAACTTCTGTCCACCGCGATCCTTGCGCCACCCTACACGTAGCAGACTAAACAAGGCCCTCTTAGGTAAGCGGTGACCAGGCATACGTAGCACGTGCCCGAACTAGCGCAACTTATTCAGTGCTATCTGTTGTTCTAGGGAGCTAGCATGATTATCACTACCTAGTACTCGCCTACGCAAATCATGATTGCGGACACGCTGGTGCCATCCGACACCAGCAATGCTTCGCACACAACGATTATCAGAGACTTGAAGACGCCTCAGATCTTCAGACCAAAGGGGCCAAGTCTCACTACCGTAGGGCAGAACGGCTCTCACTGTGGCCTTGTATACACGGACTTTCCGACGGAAGGGAACTCCTTCTGTGGCCAAAGATGTCGCAGATTCAAGAAGGTAGCCCGGGCTTTTGTAATGCGTGAGCTGACGTCAGTTTCTATGCGCCCATCGTTGCTAATGCAGCTGCCAAGATAAGTGAAATGATCAACCACCTCGAGTTCCTCGTTAGCAAGGTTCAAGGCGTCATCAAGTGTCTGGCGGTCCTGCAGCAACACTTTGCACTTTGAAGGTGCGAAGTGCATACCAAATAATGGGACCACTCTGGGCAGGCTATTCAGGGTTGATTGGGCTGCCCCAACTTCTTCGAAATGCAAGACGATATCGTCCGCATAATCTAGATCAACTAATCTTTCACCAGGCAGCACTTCAACATCTACATCGTCAGATCTCGTAATGGATTACTCCATGATAGAATCCACGACAAAATTGAAGAAAAATCGGGAAATCGGGCAACCCTGTCGAACGCCACTTGTAGTTGAAAAGCTGTCCGATAGGACACCATAGACCCTGACGCGGCCTGTAGTGTTCGAGTATAGAGCACGAAGGATGTTCACATATTTCGTGGGAACACCTTTCCGCGCAAGTATTTCGAACAGAATTGATCGATCGACTGAATCGAACGCACTCTTGAAATCGAGGAACACAGCTATTGTCGGTCTGCGGTATGCGTGGCGCTGCTCTAGCACCTGTCACAAAGTGAATATATGGTCTATACAGAAACGTCCTGGGCGGAAACCGGCCTGCTCTTCCCTAATCCGAGATTCCCGTTCCGCAGTGAGGCGACGAACGATAATCGAGGAAAATAATTTTGTCACAACTAGCGGTAGGCTAATACACCTGTGCTTAGAACAGTCTGTGCGACTGCCCTTCTTGTATATTGCCACTATAATCGATTCGCTCCAATTAGCCGGGACACTCCTCCTTCCAGATACATTAGAATAAGAAGGTCAGTGCTTTGCAGAGGATCTCACTTGCATCCTTAAATAATGCAGGTGGGAGGGAATCCGGGCCAGCGGCACGAAAACGATTGAGGGCTGTGATCGCGTTTCGGACCTCGGCCTCCGACGGAGGCTCTAAACTAACCGTCCATGGCTCGTCCTGCATCACCTGAGTAGGAAGAGGTCCGGGGAGCAGGGGGCCAGCTGAACTGATCTTGAAAGTGTTCCACCCAACGAGCCATACGGCGCTCCTTATTGTGTATCAGCGCATCCGCGCTGTCTCTGATTGTCTCAATGACGCCTGGTTTCCTGGGACCAGTGGTGCGGATTAGATGGAAGAGCGCACGGTAATTGCCTACTGCTCCTGCCTCCTCCATTTCTTGAGCCCGACTGGTCCACCAGGCTTCCTTGTCAGCACGTAGACTCCGCTTCAGTTCGCGCATAATAGCCCATCTAGTCACATTGTGTTCAGAGCCAGCCGGGAGGTGTCTTTTAGATTCCAACACGTTCACCGACCTCTTGGATATCCAGTGACTGGTGCGGTGACGATGGATAGTGCCACAAGCAGATGCTCCTGCGTCGTGCATAGTGGCCGAGATCCTATTCCACTGAAGTTCAGTATCATTAGGACAAGACAGCGAGAGTTCGCTATGCAGTGCTTCTTGATAGGCTTGCCTGACAGAGGGCTGGGACAATTTCTCAGTTGCCAATTGAGAGAGACGCTTTGTGCGCCTCCCGGTAAAGTTCATGGAGAAACGACAGCGCATCAAGGCATGGTCAGAGTCAACACAGGTACTCCAGTACGAGCGGCAATCCAGAATGGAACCGCGCCACCTGTAACTTATGGCTATGTGGTCAATTTGGGTCCATCGCTGGCCAGCTACAGGTGGACGCCAAGTGGCACTTCGGCGCCCACTGTGTCTAAAAGCAGTGCTAGTAAGAAACAACTGGTGCTCCGCACACAGTTGCAGCAGACGCTCGCCGTTGTCAGTCCGTTCGGAGTTAAGTCCATACTTACCACCCAGCTGAGCTTCTGAAGAGCTCAGACGCCCTACTTGTGCGTTCATATCCCCTGCAAGTACTATAATATCTGAACTAGTAGCACTGCGTAGCAGCGTGTTCAGTTCGTGATAGAATGTGTCCTTGACTGCATTAGAACTGCAGTCGGTGGGAGCATAAGCAGAAATCACAAACAAACAGCGTTTTGTACTACTTCGTGAATCAACCTTAGCTGATGTCGTCAAACGGCTGCACATAAACGGCTGTTCACTGGAATCCAATCAACCAACGATGGCTCAGCCTTGGAGCTTAGAATGATACCTACACCAGCTTGACCCGTGAGTGCTGCATCGGCGTCTCCGGATGCGTGCAACCAATAACGAGAGGATAAGCCAGATGCAGTTAATTCAATAACCCCGTTAGGGTCATTGATCCTAGTTTCGAACACACAACACACATCAATACCCAGTGTGTCCAAGGTGCGTGCGAGTGCAGCCTGTCGACCTACTTGTCTTAGAGTGCGAACGTTGAATGTCGCCATGGAAACGGGACAGCGTGGCCTTATAAGCTATTGTTGCCGATAGGCGTCCGAGAGGTGCGGTGGGATGGTGGCTGCAGATGGTTCTACTCCAGTGGCACTTCGGTTGCTGACAATTAAGCTGGGAATTATAGAAGGAAGGTTAGTAATGGGGGCCGGGATGGGAGTAGGAGAAAAAGGTGGAAAAGAAAGAAGGGAGGCGCCAGCAGTAGCATGCTTTCGCTTATCCGCCCTGCTGTATGCAGCAGATAAGGCGACCCTTGATAATCTGCGCGACGGCCGATGCAGGATGAAGTTTATGTTTGAAGAAATGTCATGGTTGTATGTGGGCTGGGATACTGCCAGGGCGCCCAGACCTAGACAGGAGAACGATTAGGGTCCTCATCCAAAGCCTTTGGCTCAAAAGCCTGTCCGCAAGGCAGTGGGAGATGGCAGTGATTTAGTTTTACAGAAATGGACGCCATCCCATTTCAAACCCCCAACCTGGAGGACCAGGAGACTGAGTTTGTCTGACCTCTCACCATTGACCAACCTGGTAGGAGTAGCTCTTAAGGTGCCCGGAGGCATCACCCAGTATAGCTCAATGGGTCAATGAGGTACGCAAACCGTCGCACCACGTTAAGGTCCAGTCTTGTTGCGACGGAGTGGGGTTGCAGAGAAGGCAGTTAACCCCACACTAAACTCCGGAAAGAAGGAGACCATCTGATTCCTAGCCAATGGCCTGTTTGGTAGAGTAGTTCTGAAAGCACTTGAAAGACGCCACCGAAAGTAACCCAACGAGTCACTGAGGCACGCAAATCACTGTACCATGTTAAGATTAAGCCTACCCAAAATTTTCAGTTGTCATACACCGATGAAGAAGCGAGAAAACATGGTTAAGTGTTCGGCAAGTATCAACAGTCCAAGTCTGGTAACGATCGAATCAGACTGTGTAGCCGTTGTAACCCAACCACAATGACGTAGTCTAAACTCGTGTGGTTTGAATAAGGTAAACTTCAGCTAATCTCATTTAGGGTAAATGTTTAAACGAAGGGATAATTTGTTTGTTTCGTTTCAGCCCGAAGTCGACAGTATACTCGTCTACACAACCGATTGAACAACGGAAGAGAAAAATTATGAGATAACTGATGTGTGAGTGCTGCCAAAAACCAGATACAGGGACAATCTAAGTGATTCTTTGAAATGTGCCGAATCCGGGAAAATGTTGCAGACACTACTACAAGAAACCAATCGTCTGCATTCCATCGAAAACGTACTTGGGGAGTGACAGTCTGGTTCAGAGAAGCAATCGAACGGTTCGCTTTCATGCCTGGCTTTGTTAAACGGAGTCTTGAGATGTGTTCCTGAAGATTGGCTATATGATGGGGCCTATCGGTAGTAGGCTGGACAGCATCTTTATTTGTTTCGGGATAACGTGTGAGGGAGTTGTCATCAGTATGCGGCTCTGAATCAAGTGAGGCAGTGTCAGGGAACAATGGTTTGGGATACACGATTTGATCAGCTGAAAGCAGAAAAAACGTCGATGAGTTCTGTACGTAGGACCAGACAAAATGAAGATGTATAAATAGTACGAATAGCGTGTGATCCAGATGGGAAACAAGATGATACCAAATAGGACTGTGGTAAAAAACATAAATAAAATTTATTATTGACCAGTTAGCAATTGTCAACGTCGTTAGCCTATAAGAAAACGGAAGATGTTGAACACGTCTCCAACACATATATTAAACCAACGAAGTGTGTAAAGGTGAATGTGATGGCGAGAAAGATGGTTTAATTACGGCAATGTAAAGGATATGATAATCTTCGCATGCTTGGAATGTATATATTAAAAAGTCTACTTATCGCCGTCCGCACACTGATCTTAAAAACCCACAGTTATAAGTAGCGCGGACCGTCTGGAATTTAGACAAGGATAACATTCGTGCTCCAGGCAAACTCATGTTGACTCAGTTCTAGTACCTATGTAAGTGAAATAATTGGCACACTACTTGCAAAATTGTATGTTCCGAACGCTAAGCTTGTAATTAAAGAAGATACTAGACAAAAAACGAAGTGCCCAAATGTCATCACGGATAAATGAATCTATAGGATAAAAGAACAGCAGACTAGTAGGACCTACAGATATTAAAACGCATAGTGACCACCACAACTGCAGACTAAAACTGGTTTTACCAATTCCTTAGTTATCTCAAAAGAGTGGGAATGGCCCGCCAAGACTTGTGGTGGCCAAAATTGCGCCATGGACGCCTCCTCGAGGCGGCCGCTTGGTGGGAGTTCGGTTACACACACAATTCCGCGTGAATCGGTTCGATGACTCATGACGCACGGCCCGCTGCCTTCCGGGTGTACATTTTATTGAATGCTTTGCCTGAGCAGCCCAGTCGTTCTCCTGTTCAGGTGTGGACAACCTAGAAGTACACTAGCCCCAAACCAAACCATGATATACACCTATACTGATAAGGTCATGCTGCATCGGCCGTCACGTAGTTGCACTAGTGAAAGGGTCGCCGTATCTGCTGTACGTAGCTGAGTAGATAAGCGAAAACACACTACGGTTGACGAGTCCCTTCTACGCAGTGCACTGGTCGCGATGAAACTCGAGCGTTACCACACTGACATTGCCGCACTGAGTGAGACTCGGCTCGCTGAGCAAGGGAATCTGCATGATGCTGGTGCTGGGTACACGTTTTACTGGGTAGTAAACGACACAATAGCACCAAATGATCGGGGGGTCGGATTTGCACTATCTGACCGCCTAAATGGCTACCTGGTGGCAGAGCCAAATGGCATCAACCCACGACTGGAGTCCCTGCGCCTACGGCTTGCAAGAGGCAAATCTGCATCTCGTATTAGCATGTATGGTCCCACTATATGTTATCCTGATGACACGGAGAATCAGTTTTACACTCATTGTCCGGAGCTGCATACAACTGCCCGACTACAAAAGTTAGGAAACCGCTAAGAAACCATGATAAGAACTCCAATAGGTGATAGCTTACTGAAGTTGTTGAGTACTCCAAGAGTTTTGAAATGGATTTACCCCAATCTTTGTTAATGTAAATAATGACACCTCCACGATGTGGTTCTCGCCTTGTGGCCGTATTCAACAAGTGGCGATTTTAGCACATTGCCTCAAAGGTAAATAACATTTAGCCGAGTATAGCAACATTGTTGACTACGGATTTGATAGATTTAAATAAAGAGTAAGATAATTTCTTGCGACACAAAGAATCCGCAGTGAGCAATGTAAAATAATATTCCAATGGTAACAGCAACGGCCGCACATGAAGGTAAACCAAGTCAAGTCAGTATAAGCTTTATGTCCCGTGGCGAAGCTGTACGCTATCGGGCGCGTTCCCAGGTTTCGGATTGAGGAATGCCTTCCTTGTGGTGGGAACTGCAAATAAGCCTCGTTTGCCCCGCAGGCGAGATGAATAAGCAGTCGCCGACACTCAACGACAGCGTCTCAGAGCGTGGGGAATTCTGGGCTGGCCACCACAAGAGCTCGCACGGCGCAGTGTCAAAGTCAATGTGACAGACTATTTGGTCACTAACCACTCACTTCTGTAACCAGAGGCTAGTATATAACGAAGAGCGAGTGATTTTCGGGTTTTGGAGCACCAACCATGCGGACGAACAACCTTGCTGGCCACTGGATTCTCTGTGGACTGCTACTGAACACAAAGAAGGCGAAGAAGCCACCCGGATGCAACGGTCTTCGTTAATCGCCCCGCGGCCTTGTGGGTTAGGTCTTAAGATCAAAGGCTCGGGGTGGGGTCCCTTAAGTTAACCCTATTCCATGGCCAGGGCAATCGGGAAGATCTCTGCCCACACGACACATTAACATTCTAAACTTTCCAAATCCTTTCATTGACTACCTGTCCGTTTCCCCTTTTTTGTTGTCGTTAACTATGTGTTGTGGCACTGCCAAATGTGCATTGGTCAAGTGTTGAATAATAATAATAATAATAATAATAATAATAATAATAATAGTAATAATAATACCAATAAGCTTTATATAACCAAATGGGTGCATTTCCAGCGGTTTACATTATCAACTGTAAATTTACCAAAGGGTTACTGTTAAAAAGCTAAGTTTACAGATGGGTAGAAAAATGAGGGTGCACTGTTATAGATCCATCAAGCAACGATCCTAAAATGCCGAAGTAATTCTTCGGGATTTGTATTCATTCATTACGGAATAGCTTTCATAGAAATTTTTCGTTTCAATTGACTGGAATATTGTGTCCAAAAGTAATAGATCGGGGATCGTGCGCGATATCTCGCGTTTAGATCCAAAGTTGGATGGAGTAGAGGGTCTCAGTGATCTCTGAAGTTCATTGAATAAAATATCTATCAGCGTAATCTTGCAAAAGTGAGTTATATACAGTAGATAACGTAACAAATAATGTTCTGCGATAAAGGCGACGGTCGATTTAAAGGGTCCGCCAGTAGTTGATTTAATGACGCATGATTACCAATGGTATAACCTACACAGATCATTGGCTCACCGACAGGCATTTCTAGTGCACCATGTTCCAATTCGTTATAAGCACAAAGAAACTGTCGGCCCTCAAAAAATGGGAAGCTACGTTCCCTTACAGAAGATGAAATAAGCAATTATCCTACCGAATTCTGCACATGACAATGGAAACTTGCGGTCCTACGCATAACTCAGCAATAACAAAGATCTAACGTGATCAGTTAGTGAAAGCATAAAAAGAAAGCACAGAAAAATACAGGACTTACCATCGGGCAGGTCTGATGACTTTTCCGCCGTTGGATCGTGCACACGCATACGATAATCAGCATTGGTGGTCAGAGGGGCGTACATGAGAACAAACTTCACCATACCGCCGGCCAAAATGCGGGGCTCGACGTTGATAACATGTTGAGCATCCCACTGTATAGAATGGAGATAGAATATCAGTTTACTGAATGCAAAATCGTTGGCATATCGCGTAGAGTAATTAGAAACCCAATAAAGGTGCCTCACAGAGGGTGAAAAACTGGAAAATATAGTGTGGCGATGTGTCACACCACAGTACTATGCTGCCATATACAAAATGTTGACGGCAGAATAGCGAGAAAGTAGGAAATCTTAAATTGTCCCCAAAACACCCGAAAGAATATAACATATACTGTAGTGTATTGCGTGGTTTTCAGCATTTCACACTAGATCGAATTGAAGCATATCAGCAGGTGAATCGGCAAAAAGCCGGAAACAGCCCACTTCTAAGTGACAACAAAACCAGTAATGAGACTTGATACCTGGTTAACTAGTCATGACGGAACCCTCAACAGGTGAAATACACAAAAGTGAAGCCTGGCAAAGGTGGAAAAACGTGCGCAACGAAAAGGAAGTTCACCAGTCCTTGTTTTGGTAAACGCATTGACTAGTTGATGCTGAAAAGTTGAGACATTATGAAACGCATGGGACGTAGCAATACCGGAGTTTCAGCCATCGACTCACGCGCGACCAACAAGACTAACTAGATTAAGGTACACGTCAGCACAACGGGTGGCACTGACCATTAAGCATGCAAGTGCTTTGCGCATCAAACAAACAGTTGTTAATTAACACCAGAGCCGGTCACAAGAAACAATAAATAAGGCCGAAGAAAATCCATCGCTACAGTGCCGAAGAGCAATAGCGTGAGTATTATAATTATTTACATATATAATCACAATCCTGGGTTGGACTTGCATTGCACTGCGTTGTGGGTCGGGCTATTTAGCCAAAGGCTCCGAGTGGAGTCCATCTAGCGAACCTCCATATATCCCACTAACTAGCGGGTTAGACTACTGAGCCGGACGTTGCGGATGGTCCCGCAAGCGAACCTACGTATGCCTCACTGAGTTGTGGGTCAGACTGTGGAGTCAAAGGCTAGACGTAGGACACCTCGAACAAAACCTCTCTCTTGGAATGGGCAGCCGTAGAGCATAATCTGCCCTCTCGCCTCCGTCGACCATATTCCCTATTCATCTTCTGTCCCCTCTCAACTTCCTTGTTCCCTGCTGATTGAGCAAGGGACTGCCAATGGCCTCGCAGCTGCCGCCATCGATACATGTAACTCTTCCAGCGAACCTAGACTTTCATCCCACGTTGGTTGCGCATTCTAGATCAGGTCGGGCAAAAAGCAGCACTAACGTTCAGACACCAGTCTCTAGGTATTGATGTGTGCTGCGTCTCCGAAACACACATACATGATAACAGCCATGGGACGATTCTTTGATTCCCTGGTTCCAAACCTACAGATAATGACGACACTCACCGCGTCTCTGGTATTACTGAGTCGAATGCCCAAGACATTTACGGTATCAGTATCATCCTCAGTAAACATGCGGAACGCAAATAATCGACTTGATCAGAGTGAATAACTATACGTACGGTTCGACATAGAACCTCTATTGGGTTTAATAAGCACCGAACAAAGATAAGGTGTCTTTTCATTGTCTCCGTTTATGCCCATACTGATTGCATTTCAGAGATTATCAAAGATGATTTCTAACACCGCCTTTCGTCTGCTTTCCGTATGGAGAAAAGCACTAACATCGTGAATTTTGCTGGTGTGTTGAATGTCAAACTGAATCGCCTTTCAGACTCTGAACAATACCTAGGACGTCGTTTCAGGGTCGATACACGCCGAACAGGCAACGGTGATCCATTCCTGCAACTGTGCGCTGACCACAAACTTTATCTTAGCAGCACTGATTTCCAGCACAAACGTTCACACCGCGCCATCTGGCGCTCGGCGAATTCCTCAACGACCTGGACCCAAAGTGACCATATCGCCATCACCTACAGACGGTACACATCAGTCCAAGACCGTCAGTAAATTTGGAGCATCTGCCTGAGCATGCTCTAGTGCGTGCACGCCTGTACTCATAACTCATGTTTCAAAGAAACGCGTAGCGTCTGACAATCTTATTTGTAACTTTACCTCGCAATGTGCACTTTAAAAATATCACGACTAACTGGAACACTAATTGCCAGTGAAGAAGGAGGTTGGTAGGCAGAACGCTGAATAGAATCATCTCAAGTGTGCTTGCTGTGTATAGATTTCGGGAAAATGATAAATTTCATCGGAACACGCAAGCAAGTTCCAATACGTAATGAGTTTCAGCAACGCCGCAGCGCCCTGAAATGATATCTGACAAAGTCTTCGAATCGACTGAGAACGCCGGTTGGTGGCAAGGTTCCGTGAGATGGTTAAAACCAGTGCTACTGGGAACGGCCGAGTACTTTTCTCAGTCAAGGGGAACACAGATCCCGGAAAGCTGATTCACCCTCAGCCCGATCCATTCGCCCGTCAGGAGAATACTGTAGAATAATTTGTTAGGCCTGCTGCGACACTGCTAGTTGCTGAATCACCTGATTACACTGCGAAGTAGATGTCACATCCCCCACTTTAGAACAGATTCGATATGGGCTTCCGTGTTGGAACCGCTGCAAGGAGACTTGATCTTAACGTGGTGCGACGGTTTGCGTTAGTTCGGGCAGTGCTACGTATGCCTGATCACCGCTTACCTAGGAGGGCCGTGTTTAGTCTGCCAAGTGTAGGGTGGCGCAAGGCTCGAGATAGACAGAAGTTGACTTGGTAGCGGGAAATGAAGTCACTGACGACCAAACTGGGTGCCGTTGGTGCGTCTCGCCTTCCGGGTTAGAGTCCACGTGACTCACCTTGTGTTTGGCTCGAGACTTTACAGGATATGGCTCGCAACCGACACCAGTGGCGCGTCTGCTGCCGTCTCTTAGTCGGACTGCCTGTTTAAAGTGTGTTTGGTTCTGAATTATCTGCCGGGGTAATGACTGATTATGACGCGTGGCAGTGAAAGCCGCAAGGAAGCTGTCTCGCCGATGCCGCCTTATCTTTGCACGATAGCCAGCTGTTTGTGACGGTATGTTGTTTAGACAAGGTGTAGGCGCCTTGACCCTGAATGTTTGCTGAGGTCATTAAGGTTTTCAGGTAAGCCCCCTTCTCTCCCTTTTATTATTCTTGATTTCATAGGTCCTCATGGTTGCATGGCAGCGAAGCATCAGTTCAAATGGCTGATGTACTGCTGTTTTTGTTGTTCCGTGTTAGAACGAAACAAGGCTTCTGGATCAGATGACTTTGCCCCATCTTTGCTGAAAGATTGAAGTGATTCTCTGCTGACTCGGATTGCTGCTCCAGTTAACACGAATTGGAATATTGAAGAGATGCCATCAGACTAGTGACTGTCAACTGGCGTGCCCATCTTCAAGAAGGGTCAGCGTACTTTGTGCTACAAATCATCGAGCCATTAGCCTTGTTTCAATTCCTCCAAACTTCTCACGGGTATCATTCCTCGACGGCTTACTGTCCCTCGTGAGAACCGTACCACTGAAAGCCAAGTGGTTTCCGTCCTAGTCGTGGTTGTATCGACCACATAGTTACTCTTCGCCAAGTTTAGAGCAGAGTCGCACATACGGACGACCGACTATGGTGGTCTCCCTTGACTTTAAAGCTGCCTTCGATTCTGCAGACCGCGTCAGCTTGTGGTACTGTCTAGGTAGGAGGGGTGTCTGGAAAATGTCTTTCCATTCTGACGGCGCCCTATCGTGAGTCTCGATGCCAGGTAAAGGTCTACGGAAAGCTGTCTCCTGAGTCCCCCACGACAAGTGGGGTTCGTCACGGTCGTCCTATATTTCCTTTCCTTTTCTACTTTATAATCGAAATGAACATGAACGAATCGATCCGTTCAGATTCTACCGGTGAGCAAGTTCTGCCAGGTGACCGATCGACAAATCTGGAGTATGCAGACGGCATGGCTCATTTTGGGTCTGACGCAGTTACTATGCAAACAATACTGTACAGACTGAAGTGTAGCGCTGCACCTTCGACATGTGCTTTACACCTTCAAAGTGCAAAGTACTATTGCAAAAATGGACCGATACATCGCCAGTTCCAGTTATCACCGAGCAGTCACTGCAATTGGTGTAGCAGTTCAGTTAGCCTGGCAGCTGTGTCACCTCTGGTGATCACATCACTGAGGCTACTTCGCGTACTCACAAGGCGTGCGTGGCTTTCCGGAGACTCATCCATCTATGAAGACAGTGAAAGGTAGGGTGCATAACGCTGCGGTAAGGCCGGTGTTACTGTATGGATTAGAGACCTGGCCATTTCGCGGTGAAGACATTAAATGCTTAGTCGCGTTTGAGCACTGGTGTTTGCGCAGCATTACTCATATCCGTTGGGAACACCGGGTGAGCAATACTGAAGTCGGCCAGTTGGATTTTGCCAAGGATCCTTCTGATGCCTTAGTCGGATGTTTACTGTATCTTAACCATTTACGTTGGTTAAGTCATGTCCTCCGGATGCCCGTTGACCGGCTTCATCGACGTGCAATATACACCGTGGTTGCACCAAGTTGGGCGAAATCGGGAGGTGGCCAGTCCGTGACGTGACACAGAGGCATGACGAAATTGACTGAGATACTTGATTAGTCTGGTACATGCTATCTGCAGGGGTGGGGACCTCGTGATGGGACATACGAATGGCCTGAGACTCTTTCGGACTTAGCGCAGTCACGCAATCAGTGGCATTCCTGCATCGGTTTCTTGCATCTGGTTGTTAAAGTTAGTTACATTCTGACTATTCTAAGGCATCTCCTTACTGTTTCCCTTTTCTTTACATTCTATTTGCATCCAAACCCACTGCGTTACCCTTGTTATTTATTGTTATTCTTACGACGTGAGTCTTGGTAACTACATCCACTGCAGTTCGGTGCCCGAATCACAGTCGTTTAACTGAACTGAAGTGGACTGAGCTCTTGCAAGGTGAGCACATGACGGGTCGACATACGTGCTTCTTTGTGATCGCCTACGCGCCCAATGAATGCAGCACGAATACAGTCGTATAAGTTCTATCAACACCTTCATGGGCTGCTCCTAAGGGCGCCTAAAACAGACATCATCACTATGGCAAAAGACTTCAATTCACGTGCCGGTCGACTGCTGCCATGTGAACGGCACCTTGGATGACCGCATGGGTATGATGACGTTCGCCTTGACAACGGAGATAGAATGCACAGTCTACATCCTGACCACCAACTTCTCCTCACCAGTACGAACTTTCGTCACTCTGGAGATCACTATGCCAGCTGGCGTCCTCTATCGTCAACCTAGCGCTGGTCACAAATGGATCATATAGCCACAAGTCGCAGGTGGCGTGGCAGCGTATGCGATAGCAGATCATTTTGGCGGACTTGCGGTGAAACCGATCACGTATGCGGTGTGCGACAGTTTACATGCATTTCGATGGCTTACCTAGGGCCAAACAAACAATAGCGAACACCTACAATTTGGAGGACCCAATGGTGAAAACGCAGTATCAACAGATGAATGTGAAAAAAACACTGGGAAAGTCTATAGGAAGGTATGCTGTCCCCCGGCTTGTCCAACTACGGCCTCATCTGCTGCACGGCGGAAAGTTAGGTCTCGGTAAGATCATCAAAACTGCTAGATCGTCGAGGTAATAATCATGATAAACAGCAATACATCCGCCGCATGAAATGATGTTTCGCTGTCGCACAACCATGGTGAGTTACGGAAAGAATAAAAACAGGGAGAAAGGGGACCTAGAGTAATGCCTAGCATAGAAAGATAAGGCGGCATCAGCGAGACAACTGCCTTGCGGATTTCACTCCTCAACCTAACGAGTACTCTTAAGATCAGTACAAGATAAGTTTCAAACCTCTTCCCACTCAGGTGATATAGGTTGAGCCACGACCGGTTAGGCCAGAGGCTCCGTCAGAGGCTGACATTCGTAACGCGATCTCAGTCACTGGCTCGGATTCCCCAGCACCCACACTATTTAAGGATGGTTGTGAGGTTGTCGAGGTGCCCACTTGTTGGATTTTGGTAACGCCTTTTGGTTGCGGAGTTCCTGGTTTAATAACCCGTCATTCTCGGATGCCAAAAGGGATTTAATACGTGTATTCCCATAAATGTATTTTTGGAGCTCCCAGATGTTATACACGAGGCAGTCTAGAGTCAGCCGGTTATGCAATAGAAAAATTGGTCGATGTATGAAGCGTTTGAAAGAATAGTCGATGCAGCTGGTAATATTATCAGCTGACCGGAAGGTTATGTAATGAAAGGTGAAAGAAACACTACAAGGTCATGATTTCAGAAAACTTGGTAGACGACCGGTTAATGTACTTATGGTAATAGACCATAAATACGTTAACCGGTCGTCTATCAAGTTTTCTGAAATCATGACTTCCCGATCGGTTCCAAATATGTTCCAAGATATTCAATCGTTGTGAGGTCTTATGCAAAGAACTGACCTCTAGGTTCGAACATGTACGGAAGAATGAGAACAACCAGACAAATTGGAGAGAACCGATCATAGTGGCAATATGCAAGAAGGGCAGTCGTACCGACTGTGCTTACCGCAGTGGTATTAGCGTAAAGCCAGTTGTGACAAAATTACGGGCCTCAATTCTCGTTGATCACCTCACAGAGGAATGGGAATCCCTGATTATGGAAGAGCACAGGTTTCCGCCAAGGACGGGGTTTTAAAGACCATATACTCATTCTGCGGCAGGTGCAACAGCAGCGCCACACGTATCGCAAACCAAGAATAGCATCATTCCTAGACTTCAAGAGTGTCTTAATTTCGGTCGATCGATGCATTCTGCTCGAGATACTTGCGCGGAAAAGTGTTCCCATGAAAATTACACACTGTGCGTGTCTTGTGCTCGAACAGGACAGGCCGAGTCAGGGTCTACGATGACCTGTCAAATAGCTTTCCGACAACAAGTGGCGTTCGTCAGGGTTGTTCAATTTGCCCTTTTCGTTTAACTTCGCCGTGGACTCCATCATGGAGTGCTCCCTTGCGGAGCCTCACGATGCAGGGGTCGAGATGCTACCTGGTGAAAAGCTAGTTGAGCTTGATTATGCGGACAAGATTGTCATGTTCCTGTACTCTTAGTAGCGAGAAACCCGATATAGTTGATCAATTCACTTACCTTGGCAGCTGCATCAACAACGATGGGCGTATAAACAGTGCAGACAGTTCACGTATTACAGAAGCTAGAGCTGCATTCTTGAATCTGCGACATCTGTGGCATCGCAAAGGGGTTTTCTGGTCTCGGAAGCTGCAGGATGACTACCGCTGCCCTGAACCTCAAGCAAGACGCTAAACCACTATTCAGACCAGGGCACACTGTGCCGAACGCAGCGAAAAAAAGCACTGCAATTGTCAAATGGAGGAAAATCTGACAGATAGTCTCCGTCATATCAGAAGTGGTGACGTAGTGTAAGCGCGAAACTTCCGAGGACAGGGGAGGTAGTCGACAGGAACGGTGATCGGCAGAAATGGTCGAGTCGTCTACAAGCTGATGGTGGGAAATGAGAAATGGGTCAGGCACGCCAATCAGCTGAGTCTGAATCACAGCAAGAGTCAAAGTGCTCCAAAAGCGTCATTCCTACCGTGGGACATGCTGCTAGACGGGTTTCGCTCAAAAGACGACGATGATCGGCTACACGGATCACGACAGAATCTGTAAATACCAGATGACGCACAAAGCATGTCGATCCGAAAACGGAGACGAGCACAATGGATCCAAGTTGACTCCAAGGCGAAAACCTGTGAACAACTTCGAGTTCGAAAGGTACGCAAACAGTGACATCAGGTAGCCACAGCTGATGAACGGTGCGACACGGTTTCGAGACAGCATTTGGGCGTACAGCAGATCTCGCGAACAGCTGACTTACCCAGTACACCATCGTCGCACGGACATGATCGTGACTACAGCCAGACAAAAAAGACCGCTACCAGGTTAGAATCTGTAGAAACAAGTGACGTGAATCCGCCAAGTAACGCACAGTCGAAGTGAGTGCATGTGACCTATAAAGTAACCATGCTCTATCCCTAATACACATTGGTCTAGTAGGTCTCGATCTTGATTGTTACCCGAATGGGTTGACGGCGCAGATAGTAAAGGGCAGCGTTACAACAATTACGCGGCTGAGTTGTAATCCGGAGGTCACCGGCTCAAATCTGCGTAGGTACGGGTGATCGCGCGGTGTGACGGTAAGATGCCACACTTAGATGCCAGTTGTTTAGCCATCGATCGGGCTAAACGATTTCGCATCAACACTCTGAAAGATGGTCGATCGCTGCAAGAGGCGAACTTAAGGATAGTACGCAATCGATTTAGATCGATATGAACGAAGCTCGAACGCTGGCCGAGAACGATATAGCAAGGATATGTGTTCTATATTTGTGAGTAGTTCTAATTGACGTGAGGCAAAACGAGCTTGTGTTCTACGATGGAGGCCAAGACTGGCTTTTCGCTTCACGGAAGGTCACTTGATATGCGGCATACCCAACCATTGCGCGACTGATAGTGATCACGTGGCAGTGTACAGATGATGATTCTCTTCTCCTCATTGATGTGACGACGACTGTGATCCGAACCTGACCGTAATGCAGTCTTGTGTACCTTAGACCAGATTGATGATACGAGGCTATGTCCCATTCAGATGTGACGGAGAACTGTGTAAACAACAATAGCCGTAACTTAACTGGTTCTAACCACCATAGGTGACATAGAGACTAAACATGGAAATCCATCAATTAACTCCAGTGTATGTTCAGTGATAGCAAAGAGATGGAATATGGGTTCAATAATGCAGAAGTACCGCGCACCCCAAACTTGTGAAACGAATGCCATAGTGCACAATGCTCAGTATCAGCCCGTTAAGTACTAACTTAGCAGCTGATAAATTTAACACCAAAAGGGGCTTCTCGCTGGTACTTTAAGTTAGTCAATCGCTCCTCAGTGAAAGTAGGGTTGTTTCTTATGAGCAGTTCAGAAACTAAAGCAGTTTGTTCAAAGTAAAGAAACGTTTTCGAAGGCTCAGAAATGCAACATGTGGCGGAGAGGTAGTACAGGCTTAAGAAGAGAGAAATACCGGTGACCGATGGCCGCACTCGTGTTCGGGACAGGTTGGCGCGTTCAGAATGAGGCAACTAAAAGCTATGAAGCCCAAGAAGTGAGTACAAGTAGTATATTTACTTTGTAGATTGCATTCTTTATTACCAGCAATGGGTGCGAACGAGGTAAGACCACCGTGAGTTGCTCCCCCATACGATCTTTGCCACTAGCTGAGTCGAGAAGCACGACCAATTCGTTTTGACCGCGATCGCTCCAGAGATCTTTGTAAGGGCCTTTGGAGAGGATAGAAGAAATCCCGGTAAAGGTGAGGCTGCAGGAAAGCAGAAAGAAGAGAAGCGACGATGAGAGCAAAATAGAACAAGACAGTGTTGACCAAATGTGGTACACATAGTGAAAATGAATGTCAACTCAAAATCCACATCTGCAGCAAACATAAAATTTAAAGTTGTCAAATAGAAATAGATGGAAAGTTCTACAATCTTTAACCGGTAAATATCACGGATGGTGGGGAGACCAGGGGTAAAACCGATAAAAGGAAAATGAGAGGTTTAAGCATAAATCATTGTTGTGTTTCGGATTACTCCACGTGTGTTTGAAGTGCAGCAATGGAATTGAACAACACCGAAAAAGGTCACATTTCGGATGCGATCCCCTTGATCAGAATGACTAGGGTTGACTTTAAAGTAAGCCGTCACGAGTATTCTAAAGAACGGAGAAGATTACCGAGTAGTTGGATCAAGTGTTGCCTGCGGATCTTAGTGGTGCAATGAGGAAGAAGTTAGCCATCAAGCACCAGTGCCAGACTGGGGGGGGGGGGTTAACCCGGACTATACGGGTACAGAGTACAGAAGCGGGAGCCAGCAGCTCAGTAAGATCATATTACTGAGGGCTGTTGTAACAATTCCTTAAGCGAACAGCTATGGAAAACGTAATGGCACGCAAGTATGAGGTGAGATTAAACATATAATTTGGAAATGCCGTGAAATCAGGATATACTAGCGAACAATGTTACATTTGTGTAGCGCAAATTCAACCAACTGGTGACACTCAGTTCGCACCCATCCCCCGGATTTGATCAGTTTTGGGTACCTGAAGCACACACACAAGATATGAGACATCGTCGGTGTATTTGCAGCCACCAGACTAACAGTTCAATAGCGAGAGGTATACACTTGCCTTCTTCGACTATGTCGAGCGAATGACTCTCAACCTTAACGGAGTCAGATCTCCTCTCAATAGACGTACGAGAAGTGTCCAGTAAGAAGTAATGTCAGTGTAGAGTTACTTGTGTTGCTCATCCGCGGAGTGCAATCGATTATGGAGCGACTAAAGACAAATTCTCGTTACTGAATAAGTATATGCTCTCATTGGTTGTAGTCATGGAAGAAGCAAACGTCGATACTTTGGGAAGCTCACCCCCTCCTAACATGATTGGCTAGGGGTACGGAGATAAGGGTTTTCTTTAGTGATAACAACACGCTGGTCACCTACCAATGCCAGAGCATTATCCATAAGATGTATGGGGATCTGAATTTGTTGTTCTAACAATGACGAACGTTAACTTCAGATACCTGTCGATCACAACATATATCAGCAGAGCATCTCAGGAAAAAGGGTTCTCTTTGACAAGTAAAGAGGTCGTACTGAGCTCAAGTTAACGACACCGCCATTAGTTATAAACGGTGCCTTAGTTAAGCATACTCAGTTGATCTGCAGAATACACTTCGATTCCGAACCAGCCTCTGTGCCTGCACGCATAACGATCGCGGTTTCACCTACAGTAGAAAATGTAACCTCGAGTATGCTACTGTGTTTTCTGACCGGGGGTGAAGTGGTCCAGGAGTTTGGCTTGTAGCCGACAAGACTAGGGTTAGAAGCTGTGTAGATACGGACGATTTCGCAAAATCTCGAATTGTATGCTGTCTATGGTTATTTTGTGCTGGCAGGTTCCAGCGTACAGATGATATTCATCTTACACTAGCCCCTCGCTTGAGCTCAAAATTCGCAATTCAACAACAACCATATAAATCCCAATGTCATTTAAGAATGATGAGCCAAATAGGCAAAGCGAGTGCAACTTGGAGTAATTTTCCGTGTGTTACGAAAAAGGTGTTCGGAACTGCTTTCTCGTACAGTCTGAGTCTAAAAGGAGAAGACTTCGGAGATTTCGACCGGTTTAATCGAGGAATTCGCTGAGGAAGTAGGTTCAATGGCTCGGTAGGAAGAGCTAGTAAAATGGGGAAATTCAGAGCCATGGAGAATAGTCGAGTGCCATTCCAACCCATCTGACGCTCTCAAGTATGGAATAGAAAATAAGAAGAGTGAGCAATTTGTCCCGCAGAATGCGCAAGAAACAAACGTAAGTGGTAGATTCATAAGCACCATATGTTGTCTCATCTCCTTTAGAGTTTAAGCATTAAGTACTGCAAGGAAACATGACAATGTGATTTTGTAAGCAGTGGTTGACGCTAAAAACACAGTCGAGGGCTGTGGCGCGGCGGGAGGAATAAAGGTGGATATGACAGAACCGTAGACAAATCTGAAAACTAAAGAAACAATGATCATAGGGATCTAGAGAGGCTAAAAGAAATAAGTGGAACATCGGTAGCAGTCTCTGTTCACGAATCATCACTACTGCGTTATGCAGATTAGGAAACCTCATATTGCCCATCATGACGAGACGGCAACTTAACGTGGTGCGATGGTTCTTTTGCCACAGTGATCTATTGAGCTATACTGGGTGGTGCATTTTTGCACCTTCAGAGCCACACATACCAGATTGATCAATGGTTAGAGGCCAGACAAACTCAGTCATCTTGTCCTCCACGTTGGGGGTTGGAGTGAGAGTGGCTCCTTACTCAATAAAACGGGCTCTCTGTAGTCCATTGCCAAAACCCCGTTGCCTTGCGTTAAGGTTTGTGAACCAAAGGCTTTGCTTGAGAACCCTAATCGTTCTCCTATCTAGGTCTGGGCAACCTGACAGTATTTTACCCATACAATACAATGAACTTTCATTCTGACAACTTCTTGATGCGCTGGTCGTCGCATAGGATAAACAGCAGCGCCCTATCTGCTGGATCGAGTAGGGTGGATAGGGGTTTGGATGCTACAGCCTAGACCTTCCCGTCTTCTCATTCCCCTTCTTGCGCTTGTTCATACTTATCGTCCCGCTCCAACTTCACTTTTATCCCTCCATTTTCAATCCTCAATTATTGGCCCCCCATCTTGCTTCAATAGTCGCTTATCTAGTTTCAACTCACACACAGTCGCAGGGCGTCGCTCCAATACAGTCGACAAATCCATGTTCAACCAAGCGGACGTCAGTTCATCTGTTTCCCTTTGGAGTCCTCAATCCTCCCTAAGACTGACATGCCTCAACGTGCGCACTTTGCTACAGATTGGCCAACAGGCAGCACTTGCCCGCACACCAGAGACCCTATCGATCGATATTTGCTGTTTATCAGAAACCCGCCTGCAACATTCGAGCTCCGTCCTTACTCTGCAATCTCCCACATGCGACGCTGGCAGCACATTCTCATTGCGCTTGTCTGGCGATGATACAGCTTCAAATGCCTGTCAAGCTGACGTCGGCATTGTTTGGAGCCCCTGGGCTGAAGCTGCCCTGATCGACTGGATCCCAGTCAGCAGTTGGGTGTGCGCCGTTAGGTTAGCTGGTTCGCTCCACGCTTCGAAGTCGCGCAGGAACAAACGGTGTCTGTTTATTATTGCGGCCTACGCCTCTACAAACTGTAGCAATGATTCGGTGAAAAATGATTTCTATCAGCACATTAACGATCTTCGTCACAGAAGATGCACGGATAATGTGGTGTTAGCTGGTGATCTAAACGCCCAAGTCGGAAAACTGTCCTCTGATGAGCTTCATCGATGCGGCCAACATTGTGTAGGCTCCTGTAATGATAACGGTGAGCGATTGCTACAGTTGGGTGAAGATGCCCGTTTCTTTCTCGCGAGCACAAACTTTCCGCACAGCACCCGCAGAAGCGTGATATGGCGCCCACCAGCTTCGGGCCAGCCATGGACGCAAATCGATCATATCGCGATCAGTTACCGCTGGAGAGGTTGTGTCCAAAACTGTCCCTCGATTTGGAGCACGAGTGTGGACTCCGACCACGCACTTGTCTGCGCCAACCTCCGGATGGGTTCCAGTGGACATCAGCAACGTTAATGTGAACGAATTGACACCAGCCAGCCGGCGAAACCGGGTGCTCTGAATGTGTATCAAAGTGCGCTGACATCTGGGCTGAGTAAGCGCCCACTGAACCCGTGGAAGATCACTGGTCGCATATTCATCAAACGTTACCATCAGCAGGCATGTCTTCCTATGGCAAATCAAATTGCTAACCTGGACAATGGGTCTCTAAAAAGTCTCCGGAACTTATGGATGCTCGCCGACGGATTCCGGGTGGAAGCGAATACAAGGAGACTCGTAAAAATCTCAGGGCAAAACTGCGTGCTAGCCTGAAGAAAGACTGCGAAGCATTGCTGGCTTGCCGAACAACCTCTCGTCGTGTCAACTGGGTGGTTCGGGATTTTCCCGTTCCAGCAAATGGTTCGGCGGCAGTGTTCCAGTACGTGGTGGGTTTTCGCCTGGCAAGCCTTCACCCTATAAAAGTCACATATGTCTGTTTAACAACACTGCGACGTGGTGGACGTGATTCGACACTAAATAAAGTCACTGCCCCATGCTTCATCCTGGCGAAGCATTATATTCCAGCAACTTTGTGTTATAATTCTGGGGAGCATTAGGCCCCTGTTTGACAAAGGGACAAACGAAAGGCAAATGGACTGAGCAATCAGTCACCGGCGCCCAATGGGCGCGATTCCCTGAATTCGCTCCGCTGCGTTGCAGGCAGGCTATTCAGCCAAAGGCTCGGGGTGGTGTCCCCTAAGTCAACACCCTACTTCGGCTTGGGCTACCGGGTAGTACCTCGTCCTTTGACGAAACCATGATCTTTAATGTGTTGTGTTTTCTTTTACAATTTCCGTACCTTCCTTTGTAGTCCATGGTTTCTGATGGTTCATAGACTGTTGCAATATATATATATATATATATATATATATACCTATATATATATATACCTATATATATATACACATATATATATATGGTTGGCGGCATCCGGTTTCGGATTTGCCTGTCACTGTGGCCAGACACAGGACGCCTGCGCATACAGAGAGACCATGGATAGCTTGCGCTGCACCACCCACAGCTCCAATTACACACCCCATATCCATTGTAAACCCGAAGGAACAAGACCGGGAGGCATGCGGAGTGGAGCCACGCTTCAT